TCCAAAGCAGAAATAAGGGGAAAGGTTGCTATCCTTCACACATTAAATGTTTCTTCCCACACCTGCAAGGCTGGAGCCTTCCCTGTAGATTTCTCTCTTCTAGGCTAAACAAATCTTGTTACTTTAGACTTTTCATGGGGGATTCTTGTTTAAGATTCTGTCGTTTTTCCTTGACTCAATGGCCCTATGCTAACTTTCTCCTACTGATATTATCTTCTCATGACTTCACTGGGGCATGGTCCATATCGACCCTGGGCTCCTCAAGGCTATACCAGTGTTCAGGGGCAGCTAGGTGGCACAGTGGATAGAGCGCCAGCCCTGGATTCAGGAGGACCTGAGTTCAAATCTGCCTTCAGACACATAACACTTACTAGCTGTGTGACCCTGGGCAAGTCACATAACCCCATTGCCTAGCCAAAAAAAGAAAGAAAAAAAAGAAAAGGCTGTGCTAGTGTTCTCCTCAGCTTGGAAAGGCTTTTGAGTTATTGGTCCAGTGATAGATTCTACCTGTCAGTGTTTGCAAAGGCTTTTCAGAAGGCTGACTCTCAGGAGACGAATTTCGGACCCCAGTAACTGATGAAGACCGTTCACATATTGGTGGAAGCATTGCCCACCTTGATGAAATCATGGCTCTCTGAACATGCTGAAGCAGGTGCCAAACCAAGAGGGAGGCTCCCTTCCCAGTGGTCTCCTGTTTGTGTATCTTACCTTGATTGAATCCCTACATTGCTGCCCCATTTAGCCTCTAGGTAAAGTTGAGAGCTCCAGTTATTTTCCTGTTATACTCGTACAAAACTATTCTACTACTGTGGTGGTTGACCTCTCTGCTTGTACTTTGGTTGTACCAAATTGTGTAGAAATGTGGGAGATGGAGGGAGCCCTTTCTAAGGCTACATTCTCAAGAGACTTGCTAGGGATACGAAGGCAGTGCAACACAGTGGAAAGAGCCCTGAATTTGCTGTCAGAGGATGTAGGTACAAATTCTGGCTCTGCCACTTACTAGCTGTGTGACCTTGGGCAAGCTGCTCAACCTTAGTGTTGACCATCTGTGCAATGGGTTGATAATGCTTGTATTCTCTACCTCCCAGGGTTGTGAGGAAAGTGCTTTGTAAACCTCAAGGCACTAATGCACTAGGTGCTATTATGCTATCTTGCCCTTCCTTTTATGTTTTACTCTTTGGAGTAACTTGTTAAATCTGTGCCAAGGCTGGGAGACGTGTATCAATGCTACCGTTTATTACATTGTTAGCCGAGTTTGGCAAGGACACCGTCAGAAGTCACCGAGTCACAAATAACACACATTATCCAAACTGAGGTTGTAGGATACGTATTTTTTTTAATACACACAAAAAGTGTTGATATGTTCTTCAAGTTCAGAAATTCCAGTACAGACTTTTCTTTTTTCAATTACTATACAGGCGTCGTCTTCTTTTTTTCTTAATATACTTTTTTTTGTTCATTTTATAACAGGCAGATAAATTTTAAAACATATTTAATAATCTGAACAAAGTATATAGAGCCATTCAATAGAATATAATGCTTTGTAAAGAGAGGGGTCCCCTCTTCCAGAAAAATGTATAAGCATTTTTGTTTTTATTTTAAAAAAAAAACAGACGGAATAACCCAACTAGACATGAAGAACATATTTCACTGTCCTGATTCCAACCTTAACCCCTGAACCCCGCTCCCCCCAAAGTAAAGGAAATTTACGGTAAATAAGCAACCTTATACAGCAGCAATGTTTTTTTTTGATTTTTTTTGTGTTTTTAAATATAGATTTGCTCATTTGTTCTATCAATATATCTACAATATCGAATGACGAGAAGCCTGCGCATGTGCTTACACACGTTTTCTTCTTAAACTTAAACACTTAAGAGTTCAGTTTCATTTTTATGAACACGCAGATGCTCAACAAATTGAGTTGCCTAAAAAAAAAAAAAGGACAGCGAGAAAGAGTTTACAAATGAAGAACATTCTCAATGTGCCCTTTTGAAAGAAGGGATGGCTTTAAATTATCTCTAGCTGGTATTTTAAAGTGGGATGTACTTTTTCCAACAGAATGACTGTTTCAGAGTGAGTGGAATAGTCTTGCTTAGGTGCGAAGCAATGCTATTTATTGTAGCTAGGACTGGAGTCCATTCACCTGGGTTTTGACTTCTGGGTGAAAGCTTATAGAAGATAAAAGAGGTAAACGTAAGAACTCTGTTGTGGTCTAGGCATCCCACTTTTCCATATGAACACAGCACCCATTTGCTAAGGTGGGAGCCCTGGGGAGGGGGCAGCAGGAGGAAAAGGAAATTGAGTAATCCTCACACGCACCCCTTAGCTATTTTTCTAGCATCCTCTGAAAACTCAATTTTGGATTATCCAGATCTGCATGTTTAATTTCAATCTGCCCTCCCCAGTCCTCCCAAGCAGCAACCCCTCACCAAGAAAAATCCAAAGAGATGCCTTTAGAGGCCAAACAGAGAACGTGGTTGTAATATCAAGAAAAAAAATAACCCACAAGCTGGGAAGAAATGCCAGGTTGTCTAGATCTGGACCAGCCATTCTTGTTGCAAAAGGAAGAAGTCTCTCGCTGTCACCTCCCCCTACACACACACACACCCCAAATTGTGATCTTGTTGAACTCATGCTATATAGAATTGTTTAGCGAGTCTTTGGTCAGCAGAGATGTTTCCCTTTGAATGACCACAGTGGTTTATTTGTGTCTGGGATCTCTAACTTTCTTCCAAGTGGGGGCAGTGGCAGGTTGCAGACCTTCCTCTATGGCCCCCTTGCCTTGGATGGTCTCATGAAATGAGCTTCAACACTATCTGGTGCTCATCTGAGCACTGGGCACTGGCAAACAAGATTACTTAAAGTGCCCTGAAAGTATGTAGGATACTGTCCAATCGAAGCCCTGTGTCCAGGACCAGAGAGAAAAGG